TCTGTAAATACCCCATATAGAGGACAGCCCACACCAGCCTCCCTTACCTTCCAGACTGATATAAGACTGAGTGAAATCTTGGATGGGCAGAGCTCTCTGGAAATAAAAGCTATGTATGATTGATAACCCAGGTGTACTGAGTCTGAATGAGACTGGTTGGGTTCTTAGAACCCCTTATGATAGGCACCTCTTGATGTGTGTTTCTGTCTTTACATTGATTCTGTCCAATATAGAATCCAAAAGGGCAAGAGCACCTTCACATAGACTATTTGAGCAGCTCCTGGACCTAAGGTGGACACACAATGGTATACAGATGCAGCAGGAACTCCATGGAATGCCCTCCCTCTCACTATATATCTCCATCTTCTTCCCCTGTCAGAATCATTCCAGGAGCCCCCTCCTCTATGGAACTCCCTCTGAGAATCAAGACCACCCGGTTATTCACACAAAGCCAGTTACATAGTGGATTGGTTTGATTGATTGATTAATGTTTGACTACAAGGAATTAAATTAATTGAGGTATAATTCATTCCAGGGGATTTCTGCAAACTATGTCACCATCTACTTGCTTGAATTATCACTCAGAACGCTGTGGTTACACTAAAGGCAGGAAAATATTTTAAGCATATGGCAACGTTATGTATTTGAAACAGGAAAATATATTTTCGCCTGCGCTGTTCAGCCCTCCCTTGTTCCCAAGTGCATTCGAAAGCCCCACCAAAAAGTGAACTGTACAACTGTTGCCACCTATAGGTGACAAATATAGTCTATTAATTCTATCGTAATTCCGAGGAGGCATAATATATGAAGGAAATGAGGGTGTCCTAGGGAACCTCCACATCCTTGTCGAACACTGATCTTTACTGGGCTTTTTCTCATGAATATTGGTGTTGTTCTGTGATCCTTACTTCAGATACTCCTCTGAGAGATTTAACAGTGGCTGGTATTCATAAAGCTCTTTTCAGGGGCTGAGGGGAAGAGCATGGCCTCTGCAGGCAAATTTCCCCAGGGCCCACCCCAGACGCCACCACATACCGTCTCATGCCCTTAAACAAGTGGCTTCACCTCCCCAAGCCTCGATTGGCTCCAAATGGAGATACTAATGACACCCAGCCCCACAGAACTGACGTGAGGCTGAAAACATAATCCGTGCATCGTGCTTAGCAGAGTGTCTGCATGGAACAGGCTCTCAATTAAATGCTAACTGTTATTACCGTGATTAGTTTGCAAAGCACCTTCACATACAGTGGCTGCAAACTAATGTGCCCTGTTTTGTTACCACTCGACAGATACATCATTAGCACACTACTCTGTGACCTGGAGCCCTCCTTGTATCTTACATGTAAATGTTATAGGACTTCAAAATTTTTAGAACACCCAAGATCTGACAAGACAATGTTGAGGCCAGCTTGCTACGCTTCTAATTGGAGGCAGGGAAGTAAGCTGCTTTAGTGCTTTTATTCTTAGCTGTCAGGACCCCTGGCAAAGCCAACAGTTGGGACCCTGCTGATGCTAGACAGGGTTGAACCAATCAAGTCTCCGCTGAGAATTTACTGATGACTGAGCAAGGGGCAAAGCCTTTAGGGAGAAACCTGGTCAGGGAAGGAGGATGAGGAGGTCAGGCAGGACATAAATGGATAAAACATGATCTCTACCTCAGAAGTTCAAACATAATCTCTACCTCAAAAGTTCAAAAGACGCAAAGACTGCAATTTGACAGATACAGGGGGGTTTGGGGCTGTTGTTTTTGGTTTTTTTCTTAATATAAGCAAATTAATTAAACATCAGAGGATCTGAAACATAAGCAAACACTGTTCTAGGTTGATGGCCTCCTCTCTAAAATCAAAAGCTCTGGACCCATGTTTGTGCATGGCGACAATAAGGTGCTCCCGTCTCTAGAACAGGCACTTGACCCCAGTCCTCACCACTCCCTATTGCTCCCCAACACTGAGGCTAAATGCCCGGTGGTTGTATCGGTCCCTCTTGCACTGATGTTGTTCTTAGAGTCAAAAAATATCTCTGTGCCCACCTTTCATTAAAAACTGTGAAAATAAAAGCAAGATTGAGAAGGCCATGTGATCTTTCTTATTGGGCCATTCCTTCCTTTTCATCACCTCCATAGGCCTTTGTTATAATCGACTGAAGAAACAAACCAACAAGCATGAAACATTTGGAAAACGTTGGCACACTATTTATGTCCAACACAGTGGGTGTTTAAGATTTTATTTATTTATTTAAGAGAGACAGAGATAGTGACAGAGAGCATGAGCAGGGAGGAGAGTGAGAAGTAGGCTCCCCGCTGAGCAAGGAGCCCGACATGGGGCTCCATCCCAGGACCCCGGGATCATGAACTGAGCCAAAGGCAGACACTTAACCAACTGAGCCACCCAGGCGCCACCACAGTTGGTGTTTTAATGGTAAACAACTCCTTCCTCATCTCTACCTCAATACACTGAATTATAGTTATCATCTGTCTGTCTTCCCTCCCGGACTACCAGTTCTTCCCGACGAGGTGATTGTCAAATTTTCAAATGTATCAGAATCACCCGGGGAGCTTGTTAAAAACATTTGCTGGGCCTCACTCAGCATTTCTGATGTAGAAAAGTCTGGGTAGGGCTCAAGAATTTGCATTTCTCACAAGCTCCCCCATAATGCTGATGCTGCTGGCCTGGAGGGCAGTTTCAAAAACACTGTCCAGAATAAGAATCCTGCCTCACTATTATTTATTGTACCATTTATTGAGCACCGATTACTCTGTGTTGGGTCTCAAGGTGTTTTATTTTGACTAATTGCAACAATCCTGAAATCAAGGTGTGTCTTATCACCATTTTACACCTGAGGAAGGGAACTCAAGGGTACTCACACAGCCAACAAAAGGGCAGAGCTCAGGTGTGTCTGCCTCCAGAGCCTCAACTTCTCCCCTGGCCACACCTGACCCGATTTTATTCCGCTGTCTATCCTCAACACCAACACCTTCCACCTGCATCATGCCAGCTTCTCTAGTATTTATGGAATGAATTTGAGATCCATTTATGACCAGAAATAGGCAAGGAAAATGCTCGTGGTTCTTGAATAAAGAAAAAGGGAGAAGATATTCAGGCAAGGAGAAAATTGCAATAAACATCTTTACTTACCAGCATTTGGTACATCAAAGCATTTCCTGCTGTCCGTTTATTTTTAGTATTGTACTATATATAACTCTTTATTACAAATGCCTAGGAGCAGCGCCTGGCTGGCACGGTGGGTTAAGCCTCTGACTCTTGATTTCGGCTCAGGGTGTGATCTCAGGATGTGAGATCGAGCCCTGAGTCGTGCTCCACACTCCCCGTGGAGCCTGCTTGAGATACTCTTTCCCTCTCCTGCCCCTGCCCCTCCAGCTGGTGCTCACTCTCTCAAATAAATCTTTTTTTTTTAAGTCTAAAAATTGGCATGGTATGAAAAGGGGCTTTTGCGTGGTGTTATACCTAATTACGGAGCCACTTTTCTGGAAGCACCTAGAAAGCTGTTCCTTAGCTTGTTTCAAGCTTCTGGTTTCAAGGCAGCCATTTGAGTTTGAAAATGAACTCTGTGAGTAATGCTCCTCTATGTTAATTGTATAATGAAATAAGCACCACTTCAAGGATGATTTTTAAGTATTCCTATAGAATTGTGTCATTTCCATAATGGAAAGAGAAACTGTGTCTCAGTCTGCTCTTGGGACACCAGAGCCATCCACTGCCATATCTTTTTCTTTTCTCTTCCTATTAAATATTTAGTGTATGAGAATCAGAGGCTTGGGCTACGTGTGTTATTCCCTGGATCAAAACTGTTTCCTCATTGTACCTTTGTGCATCCGCATAACAATGTGGGGGACGGGCTGGAGAACAGAATTGCTTTTGTCAGAGTCTGGGACGGTAGCAATAGAGACGGTTTGGCAAGCTATTTAAGTGGAATATTTGGGTGGAAAAAAAAAGACATCTTGTCTTTTATTACATAAAAGCACAGTTTAGTAGGAACAAGAGCATGGAAGGCAGCCAGCCTGGAATTCAAATCCTGCTCTCTGTCACTTGCTGTGTGACCTTGGGCAAATAACTCTGTCACTCTGAGCCTTGTTTTCATCTTTTTAAAATGAGGATGTGTAACTTGCAAGTCCCCTGTGAAATGCTTCTAAAGAAAATATATTCAGTGAGTTTTATATGGTGGATGCTTAATAAATGGTAGCTATTATTACCTCTAAGCCCCTGTCCCTACTTCCTCCTGGTGTTTGGATAGAATTTTTGCCCAAAAGAGGAAAAGGAGCTAGGAAATGCATTGGTTTACAGAGTTTACCTACAATAATTGAATATGACTGCAGTGTTCTAGAAAGTCCTAGAGACATCCAGTAATTGATCTTGCTGGAACCTCCTGGAGGGGAGAGGTTACTAATGGGCAGAAGTATTACTGTTTTTTTTAAGTCGTTGGGCTTTCTGGAGTCTACACCCACAGACCTGGAGATCACTTGCAAATATCTTAAGACTTGTAAAGGGACAAAAAAGAAAGATGACAATGCTTCTGACAAGTCTAACAGGTACTGAAATTTCATGGCAATTTAAGGGATTGTATGCCTTTTTCCCCCTATACAACCCCAACTTCTGGCTGAAATTCAATCCCTATCCATATCTAGAAACAAGACAACTAATAATACTTAGTAAGAAAAGAGAGGAGTTTGAAACTTTGATGAAGACATATAAGGCACTTTACCTGAACAGATTTTGAGTAGATCCATTTAAAATGAAATTAAGTGGCACTTTACCGGTTTGCAAATCGGGACCTATTTATCTCACTAAAACGATTAAAGTCTTGATTTATCCCTAAAATTGGCTTTATTATTACCTTTAATTATACTAGAAGGTTGTTAAAGACTTGTAGGTTCTCTCTATCCCTTTAAACTGCACGTTATGCAGACAATAATTGAATATTGGATAGAGTAACTTGATTTTCCAAAGAAATATGTCTCTAATATTTTCGTCTTTTTATTACAGAAATTGAAACAGGTTGAAGAAACAAAAGAAGATCCTGAGAACAGATTATGTAAAATTTCCCCGGAGTCATTCAATAAATATAACAGCAAAACTATGATTTTGTTAGAAAGAGAGAAGAACTCTCTGAACGAGGTTGAAGGACAAAAGGAAGAAAAAGAAAAAAATGAAGAGGCATCTTTGAGTAGCTCAGAGAGGCCTGGGGTAGACAATTTGGAATCACTGAGTGATTCTTTATACGATAGCTTCTCTTCTTGTGCGAGTCAGGGTTCAAATGATGTATAAAGGACCTTTTTTTTTCCTTAGTGAGCTGAAAATGGAGCACTTAAGCAACAGGGGTGTGTGTGGAGGGGAATAGAGATAGCACCAGTAAACCCTGGCAACACCAGAGACTGCATTGTCGGATTCACAGCAAGCAACCCACGGGAGCTTCCTTCTCTGACAGGGCAATAAAGATAGGCTCCATTTGTTGTGTGTCACGAGGCTGAAATGTAAACACACCCACAATACAGAAGTCTTAATTTTGCACTTTTTTTTGAATACTTGTACAGAAGTTGTAAATTTTTGGAAAAGAAATTATATTTGTAGCAAAAAAAAAAAAAGACAGCAATAAATTGAATCCGTGCCATGCTCTTGAAATGATGTACTAAGTGTTAGAAGTTGATAATATATTTTTTAAAAATTCCAGCGAAGGTGTTTGTTGACTTCACTGTCCTAGTACTCCAGTTGTTTGTGGGAACATTCTGTAAGGCTAAAACAGTCCCGCCAAAAACCAGAGGGCTCGTGGTCATCTCCAACTCACAATCTCAACATGATATGAACGTTAATTCCAGTGCTATTTCAGAATTGTTGCCAGAGAGATTCAGGTTCCAGTTCCAGTTCCTGTTAATTATGCTTCCGTTGAAAAATGTAACAGGTACTCAAAGTGTGACACTGATGGGAAGGGAAGTGGATCAGAAGTGACCTAATTCTATTTTCAACAGCAGGTTTTCCCTCCAAACATTTCCTTACATCTTCTTCTACTTAGTGCTTCTCTATAATTCTCAACAGCATTTGTTGATTTTTATCTTCCTGCTCTTTCGATTAAAATCTGGGCAATCTAGAAATGAAAGCAAATTCCTATCTGTAACGTTCACTTTTTAAAAAATAAAATGAATGGTTGGTGCTACAAAAAAGAAATCTTACTTTTTAAGATCCTTTTTTTCCTACAAAGTCTGTTTATATGTGAGGACAAATTCTATTTTAAAGGTTATTTGTATTTTTTCTAGATGTGAACTATTTATAATTGCTTTTGTACAGGAGCTTGTAAACTAGGCCTAATAGAAATATTTTTAGGATCTATATGGTTACTTCAGTACACACTTGTTTGTTAAAAGAGCATTGTATAACCAGTGTTATTTGGTTAATTTGTGCAATTTGTTATATTGAATTTTGTTATCTTAAATGAAAATTATGTAAAGTATCATTGTCAGACTTTTAAAAATTCTTCTGTTTCATTTCTGAATAAAAGTCGTATCACAGTTGCACCCTCTGAAATCTTAAAAGGACTTGTTCAAGAACCCTTTGGCCCAGTTAGTTGAATCTCACACGTGCTACAACAATCAATTCCCGGAAGGAATAAATAAACTGGCCCCTTTGCTCCAGAGATAGTAATTCAGCCAATTGTTAAGATCAGAGTCTGCAGACAAGCAGGTAATGGTCAAAGCATTCAGTCTCCCCGAGGGGTTAACCAGCTAGAAATGAAAGGGTACGGTGGGGGGCAAAGGGAGAGAAGGAGCCTGAGGCAGATCTGGAACGACCTCTGCAAAAGAATTACAAGAAAGTCATTTAAGTCCATTTCCAGACCTACTCTGCTGGCAGAATGGGGAAATAAATAATCAGCGTCCCGGCCTGAGAGAGCTTCCTCCAGGGGGTGGCCCAAGCGCACGAGGGTGAAGAGGGTCAAAGCTTCTGAAGCTCTTTCCACAGGATTCTCCCCAAGGACTGAGGGGACAGGCCGGTGGCAACGTGCGGGATTGAGGGCGGGGACGCAGAGACTCCCGCACCACCTGCTGGAAGGCTCGGCTCCAAGGAGGGCGAACTTAGCACCGTGGCGTCCCGGGAGCACTCAAGGTGGGTCGCTTGACTGAGACGGGAGAATGGGGCGGGGGCTTAAAAGAGGGGCCCCGGGCAGCTTGAGACTTTGAGTCCTGGGCTGTGAAGGCGCTGTACAGGAGAGGACACGGGAGTATGTACTAATAACCCGTGACTTTAAGGCGATGAAGATGCCGGGCCTTCTGGAGAAAGGGGATAGAGGAGAGCAATTCCCTTCTTCACCCCGATTTGCTTTCTGGTGGGAACTCGCGACAGTTGTCCCCGGGGACCGCCCTGTCCTAGGCTAGGCTACCGTCGCGGTGTCACTGCACCCTCCAGCTGTGCGCGCAGGCAGGGGAAGGAGGGCTGCTCGGGGCAAACGCGCGGGTCAGAGCAGGGTCCTCACTACACCCCGCTCACCCTGCCGCAGCTGAAGCCAAGCCTGATCTTGAACCAGGGGCTTCTCGGAGAAAAACAAAAGACGCAACTGCACCGGCCACCCCAGAGAGCCTGCAGGTGTGCAACTTTGCCAGGCGCACGCGAGCACGTCCCACTCCAGCCAGCCGCCCCCGGCTCGGGGCTCCCGCGGCCAGCCTCGCGGCAACCTCAGCCGAGTGAGCAGCCCCGGGGGGCGCAGGGCCCAGCTGAGCACGCAGTCTTTCGACCCCACCTCGCAGGTCCCGCAGTCAGCGCCCGGCCAGTCCCCGCGGCACCTGCTGCGCCCTCCTCGCGCTTTCCCAATCCCCAGCCTCCCAACCTCGGGAAACTACACTCTCCCTCTCCCCCTGGCGTCCCTGTCCTGGGGACGTGCGGAGGCGGGAGACGAGGGCGATAGGAAGGGGGTGGGGACGTGAAAAGACGGTCCCAGCCTTCCTCGCCCGCCACCCCCACCCCAACTCGGCAGCCGTCACGTGGTGCCTGGAGTGGGAGGTGGGGAGAAGAGGCGAGACTTTTTTGGGTGCTCCGGCTCGCCAGTAGTTCCTCCAGTTCTCAGCCGCCAACTCCGGAGACGCCGCGCTCTGCCCGGGAGCGCCAGCGGGAGGAGCGGCGACCCGCAGCCGGGAGCCCGGGCTCGGGCGATGCTGGCGCCGCCGGCGGCACCTGCAGCTCCTTTTGGCGGCGGCGGTGGCCTCGGCGGCAGGAGCGCGGGCCCCAGCAACCTCGGCAGCCACAGCCGCTGCGGCCCGGGCAGCCTCCGCCGCGGTCGCCGCCTCTGATGCGCCTGCCCTCTGCCGGCTCTGCGTTCCGGGAGGATGTGGGTCCTCGGCATCGCAGCAACTTTTTGCGGATTGTTCTTGCTTCAAGGTAAGAAAACGAAAAGGCCAGCAGCCCCGCCAGGCGCGCACACCCCATCTACCCGCCCGCCCCTTCGCCCCCCCGGGCACCCACCTCCGGGCCCGCGCTGCGCAGGGGTTGCCCAGCGGGAGTTTGGCGGCGGCGACTGGTACTGGTGCCCAGGGGCGCTAGATGGGAAAGTCTCCAAGTCCCGCGCTGCAGGAGGAGAGGCGGGAGCGGCGGATTTGCGGGACTCGAGCTGCAGATGCTCGGGCTTGCGCGGTTGGGAGAGGAAGCAGAGCTGGGGAGGAGGGAGGGTCTGAGCGGTGCTGGGGCCTCGCGGAGGGAGAGGGGGTGATGAAGCCCCTGACCCCAACAAGTTACCAGGCGTTTCCAGGAACCGGTGGGAGTGGCGCCGCCGACAGGTGAGCGGTGCGCTGGGCAGCCTGTGGCCGGGGCGCTCCGGAGCTGGGTTGCCGCGCTCAGAGCGCAATCGACGTGGAGATGGGAGAAAGCGCGGGGTCCGGGGCTTGTCTGTCCGGGAGCATGGGGAGTCAGGTCTAGACAGGAGCTCCTGGATCCGAGCAGAGCAGCCAGGCTGGGGCGATGAGAAGTGCGAAAATGTCTCACTCCTCCCAGTTAAGCGAACGGCTCTCGAACGAGCGCTGCAGAACCGGGACTCCGACCGGGGACCCTAGCCAAACGGTTGCCCTGAAAGCCGGGAAGAAATGGTGGTTGTGTCGCGGCTCGGGATGCGCGCGCGCACACAGACACACACGCCCCTTGTACACGCTGTGGTCCCCTCTGCTGCTGCGGGGACTGTCCCGAAGGAAGGCCGGGGACTCGCGGCGCTTCAGCACTTGGCGCCCGGCACTGCCTCCTGGGTTCCTGGGTGGTCGCGTAAGGAGCCTCGGAGCCACAGCACAGGAACGCTGACGACAAAAATTAAAACTAAAAAGGCGTCTGCGAATGCAATCGCGAATGGTGCCAAAATAGTAATTTGTAACCAATTAACAATTAGGCAGATCCTGTGCTGTAGATTGGAGCTGAAGCTTGTCTCTGGAGCTACTTGTGTACCCGTCCTTTCAACTTCCGTGGGGGAAAGGCCAGGTGCGGTGTAGGACGGGCGCTTTATTTCTGGAGCATTTGGTCCAGGGGTCTCAGGCAGAATTCAACTGAATCCTGCGGGACCCTCGGTGTCCGCGCCGCCCCCTGCCGGCTTCAGCCACAGCCGCCTTCCGTGGAGACCCCCGGGTCGCCGAGCCCAAGAACGCCAGGGATCGGGATCCGTGGCTGGCTGGGGCCGAGGAGGGTCGCGGTTTCCGGTGTGGTCTCTGTGGGGGCTGGATCTGACCCCGACTGCGTCTGTCCCCACAGGCTTTGCGCTGCAAATCCAGTGTTATCAGTGTGAAGAATTCCAGCTGAACAACGACTGCTCCTCCCCCGAGTTCATCGTGAATTGCACGGTCAATGTTCAAGACATGTGTCAGAAAGAAGTGATGGAGCAAAGTGCAGGTAAGAACCCGGTAGCCCCCACCCCTCTCCAGCCTCAGCCAGGGGTAGGAGTTGGAGGATTGGGGGGGGGGGGCATTACATTACAGGAAAAGGGACTGACTTTGATTTAATGCACACACACTGGTTGTCACAGATTTACAGTGCTGGCAAAATGAAGAGTTCCAAGTTACTTTAATCTCATTAGAGTTAATTACCAGGGCTTCTCCCCAAGGGACTCAGGAGGGACATGCATTTAAATTAGTGGCTCTTCTCTTTTTATTTACTCCCCTCACCTCCCTCTGCTAAAAGCTGACCAGGAGACTGGAAAATATATGGATAACCAGCTCTGCTTGGGCAACTAGACAGTAGCCTGTGAGCAATGTCAGCCTGAAATATGAAGCTACTTGAAGTTCCCAGAGGTCAGAGCTTGAAAAATGTGTTTTGTCATAGAGCCACACCATATTTCTTAGAAGAACACTACAGGATCTTTATTTAATTTCAGAGCTACTGCATCAAATTCCAGGCACCAATTGCCAAGATTGTTCAAAGGAATGTAGTTCCCAGCCCCACAAGCTTAGCTGCTGGCTGGCTGATGAGAGGTGCTGGGCTCTATGCAGAGAAGGGGGTCTTGGGAGAGCAAACCTCACTTACTCCAGCTGACCAGAGTCTTCTCCCTGACCTGGACCTTCCCAGCCCCTCCCAATAGTTTTACCAGACATCAGAGTCCCCTACAAGTGCACCTGAAACTTGGGGGAAATGGGTGGAACTCTAGCTTCAGTTCCATGGTCAAACCCATCAAGGGAGACCTTGCCCTTTTCAGGATAATAAAAATAGGGGCAATAGCATCATGTGGTGACTGATGTGGATTGAACCAAAGTGCTTCCTCCCCCTTGAGTTTGCTGAACTGTGGGGCCCACAGAGCTTTTGGTTGAAGGGATTAAATCTGTGAAGTGATTCTCTTAATCCACTAGCAAATGAATGGCTCCAGTTTTCAAGGCAGCATCTTGGAAAAGTAGTTTCTTGTCAGAGAGGGGCCTGGAAATGCCCTGTTGCCAAGCACAGGGATATTGGAGGAGCAGAGAGCCAGCTCATCACTGTGCCATGATGCGGTGTGCTTGCTCGGTTTTAAAAGCTGTTCCTTATAGGTCATTAGGCGTGGTTTCTTTCCACCAAAATCGCTCTTTGGGGAAGTCTGAGACCTAACTGCTCTCAAGAATAACTTGTCCCAAGAAAATCACACGTTGTTTTGTCATTTGTCCTGGGATTCGGGCTTTACAAGAGCCAAACAAAATTTAGTGACGATACTGTAGCTAAGATTGACAGCTATGATTTTGATAAGTTGTTTCTTTTTTCCTTGTGTTTCATTCCTGAGCATTTTACCTGAGCAAAAATTTGCCTTCTTACCAGAGGAACTGCTGTGACTTCAGTTGGAATCATTCTGAACTCTTTAGTGTTTTTTGTTTTTGTTTTCAAATATTTGCAGCTTTCTTCCAGGCGGTAGTTTAGAGCCAGAAAAAAATAAGGATAAACTGTGGACACATTAGGAACTTCCTCAGGATCCTCTAGGCCACTGCTTATCTGGGTATCATGTTTTATCGCCTGGGATATGGTTGAGACAAGGAGAGAAAAAGATATGAACCGAACTACAGCCAAATGAGGTGTCCTTTTTCAGAGAGATATTTCTTCCTCTCTAGAAGTGTATGTAAGATAAATACCACACACTCCCATTTTCCAAGTGCTCTTTTTCTTCTTGCTTTATTCTCTCCTCCAAATAATGTAAAAAAGGCAGAGCACGCATTATAATGCCGATCCTATCTATGGGAACGTTTAGCACCCAGTCTCTAAGGGCCAGGCCTGAAGTTGCTCTTCACTGGATCAAGATGGGCACCTTCTCTCCAAAGTAGGCTCCTCCAGCCATATGTCAGAGGCCAGAGGGTGGACAGTGAGTGAAATAAAGCAACCCCAATTGTGAAGTCTGAAAAACAGAAACAGTTGACAGACTCCAAGGAAAGTCCTGTTAGAAGGGGAGGGACACACCTTCTAAGCCTGAGTTCAGTAGAAGACAGCCAAATGCACATTCCTGCGTCAAAAGAGCAGTGTCTGGGGTGTGCTACTCCCAAGGCACTTCCATTTTCATCCCCGTGCAGTGGTGAGACCAGTCAATGTAAGTGACTCTTAACCCTCTTCGTGCTGGCAGGGATGGGAGAGCCAAACTAAGATTTGACCAGACGTGACCACAGGTAGTGCAATCGTCACAGTCGTAAGGGTGCGCATGCCCTGCGCGGCAGGTCCTTTCTTGGGTGCTCTCTGTGGAGCAGCTCAGGAAATCTGGTAGTCTTCTTTTGCACCCCTTGTTCCCCCAGGCCTCAATCCCCCAGCATTTAATTCTGTAGGGGTAGTTTTTCCACTCTGGGGAAAAAAAAAAGTCACACCTGTTACATGCTACTATTAAGAACCAAAGTCAGAATTACTTTCATTGGATCAGTAACCGATTGTTCTGAGAATCTTAGTGCATTAGATCTGAAAGGGCCCAGTGACTCAGTTAAGGGTGCAGATCAGAATCATCCTGGAAGTTTTGTTGCGATCCACATGCCTCCCCTCACCCTTGAAGAAGCAAAAGCCAGTTCACTGAGTCTGTGAAGTACTCCGCGTGGGTCCTTTCGAAGCTCCCCAAGTGACTCTGGGGTGCCCTGAATCTGGACTGACTTTTTTCGGTTCTAGAGGAGGGACACCAGGGCCAGAAAAGTTACACACCTGGTCCACATCCACCAGCTGATATTACCAAGAGGCACCCGCTTTCCTGAGCCAGCACCTTATATAGTAAAACCTGCCACCAGGTTTGCCTGAAAAGAGAATTCAGGAAGAGTGCTAAAGATTTAGATGGTCTTCACTTTAAAGGCTTAGTGAACTGGGTGATTGGACAGGCCACGAAATGGATATTAAATGAGTATGAGAACCAACCAGTAGGATTTTTGAAGCCTAGTGCTATATGGACTGGCATTTTTCATAGGTCTAGGAAAAGCATGGTTTTAACAGACTAAGAGATTTTAATGAACCAAGCAAGTTTGACATTAAGCAGTGATGAAAGGCATTCTCTTTCCAAAAAAATACCAGCGATGCAATATGCTCAGGCCTTTAGTTAGTCCTTTCTGAATTAAGTCTGCAAACTCAGTGCTTATGAATTTTGAGGCAGGTACGTTTAATTTTCAATTGGGAAGTACATTTAAAATTAACCTTTACCTATTCCCCAGAGTGGCATTCCTATCAGGTGCGGAGATTATTTCCCGCTGCTCTTTTTCCCCTTGGTCATTTCTGGAGTAATAAGGCACTGGGCTCTGGGGAAGGAAAGCCTTCTTTCATTGTACTTACTAATTGATATTTAAATGTTTGCCTAACAGATGACTTGTTCTCACAAGTTTTGCTCTTAATGAGTTAGCTTCTACTTACCAGCACCCTTGATAATGACATTTCTTTTGCTCTTGCTTATCACGGCACTCCTAAAAATATTTCAAATATTGATTCTCATTTCAGAATAGAAGCTCCCCCCATATGAATTTTTAAACCAGGATATAAAGAATGTGAATTTGCATTTGTTTGACAGTGCAATCTTGTAATTAGAGCTTTTCCTCTTGACTAGATACAGTGAAAGGGGCATAATTTAATTTTTATAGACTAGCCAATTTCTGCCCTAAGTAAAATATAGCTCTGTCAGTGAGCAAAATGTTACAGGTTCTCCTAAACCTTATTTAAAAGTTAAATGCAGTATATTGAGAGAAAGTTCATGGTCTGAATCAGTAACCTAATCAATCTCTTCACCCATCCTTTGCGACATGCATTAATCTGTTTGTCTGTTTTGCAATACAAGAGTTACTGATTTATATGCCATGTTGTATCTACATTATGGCTGTATAAGGAATGGCTGTTTTCCTTTTGGATTAGTTAGTTGCCCATTAAGTTGGGCAGGGATGGTTCCATGCCTTGGATAGGTTAATTTTATGCCTTATTTTCTTATGAGCTAAATAAGGGAGAGCAAGTGAGGACCTGATGTCCCCAGAACAGTCAGTCATCCACTGTGAGGCTATGGTTAGCTTCCCATTTGCACTATCTTGTCTTGTGTGTATGCACTGCTGAATTTCACCACAATTTAAAATAATAGGCTCTAGTTTGTCCTTGGGGTAGTCTTGGCAGGAAGCAGGGTTAGTTCTGCTAATCAATATTATTATATCACAGTTCCTTTATACATGGATTCATTTATTTAATGTGCACATATGCACGTGTGTGTGCTCAGATACACACACAGTGGCATATCCACGTATGTGTGTATCTTTTTACATTTTTGCCTATATTCGTTTGCATGTGCACCTATAAGAGTCATGTCAGAAAAATAAAAATGTTGAGTCTTCCTCCTTTACAGACATTCAGATCATAACTTACTTAATCTATCTTATACCGTAGGCGCACAAAGACATTTTCTAACGTTTTTTTCCCAGAACAGTTTCGTTAAGAGCACCAGTAGTAGCTGATGATCTTCCAACGTCCCCCGTCTGCCCCATATCTTTTTTTCTCCTACCTCTTCTCTCCTGTCATCTCCTGGGTCCCACCCACAGTCCTTACTTTCTCACCCTCAAATCCATTTTGAATCCATCACACGTGCTGCGGACTGTCCTCTAAGAACGAAGCGAAGAAACAAGTCCAAAACAAATCACCCTATTTGAATTTTGCTAAGGAGACCCCCACCGGTTGTAAAACTTTAAAATCAAAAAGATTCAGATCCCAAGAAAGATATCCTCAGATGTTAACACAGCCCTGCTCTGAAGGTTTCCGTGTCCAACTCGATCAAGCTGTGAATGACACAGGAAAAGATTCCGTGCAGTGCATGTCAATATCACCACCTCCATTCCAGCAGGCCACTAAAAGAACACCCCTCTCTTCGGGGCAAGACATTTTGCCAGTTTGTTCAGTTAGTCCTCAAGAAGCAGCCATCTTGGGGCGCCTGGGTGGCTTAGTTGGTTAAGCAACTGCCTTCGGCTCAGGTCATGATCCTGGAGTCCCGGGATCGAGTCCCGCATCGGGCTCCCTGCTCAGCAGGGAGTTTGCTTCTCCCTCTGACCCTCTTCCCTCTCGTGCTCTCTATCTCTCATTCTCTCTCTCAAATAAATAAATAAAATTTTTTAAAAAAAAAAAAGCATCCATCTTTTTCAGGTGGCAGGCAGAGCTGGCTGCTGAGGAAGTATTCGGAGAGTAAATATCAGGTGTCATGAGTCCCTTGGACTCCCCAGTAAGTGAAGTATTTGTTTATGTTAACTTTCCAGCTGAACAAGCAGCCAGTGTGGACCTCCCATCTCCGTAGATAAAATGTTTGAAGATTGATCCAGCGGTCCCATAACACTAATTCCTCCCACTACAATTTCATGAAAGCTTCCATCATTGATGGTTTTCCTAATGAGTTTAAACAGAGAGGCTTCAAAGCTGGGGAGATTTCCCAAGTGAAAAATGGAACAGAGTATGAAAACAAAACACACCGTTTCCTTTGAACTTTGGAAAGGAAATCTTCCCTTATATATTCCGGAAACAAAAAGGGTCTGGATCTGCAGCCGGCTTCCTCCCTTTCTCCCTCTCCACCCTTGCTTGCTCTGCTTCTTGCCTGCCTTCCGCCCTCTTTCTCTCTCTCCTCCAGCCCTTCCTCTCACTCTTTCTTTTTTCTTTCAAATTTCTAGAATGACTGAATGACTTAGGTTCTAATGCCCAAATCTGGCAAAGGTTTATTCGCACGCTATGCAGAAAGACCCCAACCCGTTTTTAGTACTTGAGTGAGAAGGGCACTCAGCTCCATTGGTAGAGAGAGTGCCCATGTTCCTGGCTCCCCGCGCTTGGTAACTTTAAAGAAGTTACTTAATGTCCCACAGGCTGAGCTTCCTTCCCTGCAAAATGTAGAAACAGGCTACCTGTTTTCTGGTGAGACACAAGACAGTGAGAAATGCTGTCTGTATAACCACCTTTAGGAATCAATCCTAAAAGGAGAAACCTGCCAGAATGCTCACCAGGAGTTGATTCATCTACTATCTGTACCTGCCTCTGAGGACCGGCCCAGGTATCTTAGCCTAGGTTACTTTGCACACAGTTTCCTCAGACTGAGAGAGTCCTTGAATGTAACCTTGAATTCGTTCCAGTAGGATTCTCATAATTAGCCTAAAAGGTTCACAGTGAGATAACATCCTAACTTGATAGTTGGTAAATATGAGATGCAGAGAGGTTGAGCAATCTGCTTAAGACCACACAGCCACTGGCACTGAAATTCAAATCCTTTCCCTTCCCTAGAATTTTTCCATTATTATAATGCCATTTTTTTTTGCATTCTTTAATAACAATTTTTGAGATATAATCTAGGTTCCATAAAATTCACCCTCTTGAAGTATACCGTTCAGTGGTTTTTAATATATTCAGAGTTGTAAGTATAGTCTAATTCCAGATATTTGATTCCAAAACATTTTCATCACCCCAAAAAGAAACCTTGTGCCTGTTAGCAGTCACTAATCAGGGCACCACTAATCTACTTTCTGTCTCTATGGATTTGCCTATTCTGGACATTTCATATAGATGGAACCATGGAATATGTGGCCCTTTGTGACTGGCTTCTTTTGCTTAGGGTAGTATTTTTTTAAAATTCATCCATTTCACATCTCATTTTGAGATGTCTTCCCTCCTGCTCGTACAGGGGCCTGAAGGGAAAGCTCAGGTTTGGAAAAATGCCTAAATTACGGAGGGGACGAGAATGGGGTGGGAATGGGGTGTGCTTGTGAACTTGAAACTCCATGGACTGATTGGCCAATTTGCTGAGCCGAACTAAAAAAACCTGTGCCAAGAGCAGGTCATTCCAGCAAGTGGTAGGGCAAAGGAGTGCCCGTTCATCAAGCATCGATGTGCCAAGCCCTGGGCTTTCCATCCACTGGCATCTATTAAAGACTTAATCTGCTTCTCCAGGAGGGGATCTTAAATTGGTTGATGTTAACCACAAGAATCCTCAGGCACCTGGATGAGCTATTCCTACTGCCCGGAGCTCGCTCTTCGATGCTAGCTGCCCGTCCCAACACCTGGCATCACTGATAGGCCAGGGATCTCAGGAATCATGCACCTTGTGGGCTAGAAGAGATCTTAGTTTATCACTTTACAGAGGAGAAGAAAGGAGTTTTCTTCCCTGAGGCCTTAAACATCTTGAGCAGTCCATTTCTCTTTCTTCCCTTGAGAAAGCTTGAGGGTAGAGCTGGTTGAGACTTACTCTGGGGAGGGATTTTGATGAGGGAGATGGGATTCTGGCATGATTAGGTCATCCACAACCAATACTCGGGGAGCATGGGCAAGTCTGGCCTTTTTCTCCCCAACCAAATCACTTATTACAGCTTCCGTGGAGGCAGAATTATGTACTCCTTTAGAAGTGGGAAATCTCTTTTTTTTCCTCTGTTATTCCCTCAAAAACTAAGCTGGATTCTTCCTTACCCACAGTTTTCATTGTGGTGGAAGTGATGGTATTTTGGGGAGAGGAGAATCGCTGGTTGAAGAACAATATCTTTCCTCCCCTGGGCATTCTACAAAAGGCCTTGTCTATAATTTAGGAGCTTCAACCAAATCTGTGATGAATCAGCCAGCAAATAAACCAAAGAATGATGACAGATGCCATGAATTCTTTCTCTCCAGGTAAATTTTGTGGCCACATTGTGATTCAGGAGCTGTTTTCACAGGCCAGAGCCCCAGGGCATGTTCTCTTACTAATAACTTTGCTCCCAATCTTCCTATTGCCTCCACCGTGGTACAAAGCAAAGCAGGAGATGAACTGAATTAAGTGCTTCAGATAAGGTGAAACCATAGAGAGCTTCTAATAAATTGCTTTTTTAAAGGAATGCATTTAAATAGAACAAAGCAGTGATGGTTCACGACATTGATGTCGAGCTTTATGACTTTGCAAACCATGAGAGAGGGATCCAGATGCAAAAGTGATGAAGTGTTGTATTATTTTAAGGAAGTTGTGATACTTGGTCCAGTGCATTTCATTTCTCACTGGACATGGACAATAGCTTTTTATGTTTTTCTATTTCTTGGACTTGTTGGCGGGAGCAGAGGCATGATTGGAGACAGTGCCAGAGGCGGGTGGCACCAGGCGCGCAGCACGCGGCGCTCGGCCCGCTGTGGCCCGTGCGTGCAGTGCTGGGCATGAATACGAATGTGCAGAGCAGTTTACAATGCCCTCCGCCAGGGCTTCTTCAAAGAGCATCTGCGGAAGCAGGTGTATTCAGTGACACCGGGCTGTGGGTTTTATGCACTGTTTTATTGCTTATGCAAAATCTAGCAAACCACTTGGGCCTCCTGTAACTTCAGAGAATCTGTTCAGAAATAACAAGAGGCCGGGCAGGTTGACTAGTTTCCACCCAGTGAAGACATCCAGACTGGGAGTGCAAAGAGATCCGGGCTTCAAAGCCAACCCAGATTCTTGGGAGAATTTCCACGGCCTTCCGAGGGAAAGGCAGCCGGTGGGTGGAGGCACACCTGGAGAGTGAAGAGTTAGCTAACTTTCTCTGAAAGGTCAAACAGCTTTCTACTCAGCCTGTCACTTGCTGTTGGAAGGGAGGAAAGAATAAAGCAAGGCAGAAGCAGACGTTTTACATAAGTGGATTAAGATCTAGAGAGACTCAACCAAGCCCTGTAGAAACTGGATCTGGGTGGAAAAGCCAGCCAGGTGAAGACAGGAGATGACACAAGGATCTTCTGACAATTTTATCTTTGTTCAGCGTTCTGCAGCCAGCAGTTTGCCTGGCACCAGAACCTTTCTGTGTTTTAAAGCATCTTTTCCTAATCCAACTGAACTACAGCTTTATGCTCTAGAGCCATTCATGGTTTTCATTTCTGGATACAAGGTTCCTGAAAGGACGCTGTGCTCATCAACCTCGCTTACTTCCCCCCACCTTCCTCCTCCTCCTCCTCTCTCTCTCTCTCTCTCACACACACACACACACACACACACACACACACACTTAGACTTGCTCACGGGTATGCAGACACGCAATAAATATTTGCTGAATGAATGTACTTGAACAAATCAAGTTTCAAGCAAAACCAGATAAATTGATTGGCATTTAAGAAATATTAGACCAGAAATGAAGGAGCTCAAATCTCTAACATAAGAAGAAAACTAGAGCAAAGGTAGCTTTAATATACCGTTTGCTTTTCAGTTAGACTAGAAAAAGCCAACTGATGCCTATTCGTCACAGTTGTCATTTAAGGAACAACTCTAAAGTGTAATACACCCCAGTTTTTCTAGTTTGTCAGCTCGCTTTCAAGGCCCATCTAGCTGTGCCCTGCACAGGAGTATACACCTCCATCTATAACATCCAGCTAGCTTGGTAGTCCAGCCAGCGGGGGACAGGACACCACCTAGCCAATCCGGTCAGCTGGAGGTTTATGTTATTTGGAACTCGGTGTACCGCGGAGATCTGTCTTGGTTGTGAAATTCCTAAGGGAGAAAATACCCCCCCTCCCCCACACAGTCACATGCCTCTACTCCCCCAGCAGACCTCTGCCCCCCACCTGCAGGCCTCTCTCACACAGGGGATGCAGCTTGAAATACAAATGGGTATGCTCCCCCAGACAGAAGCCATCCAGAAGACTTTGAGCCCGGGGACATACTTCTAAATGAGTTCGTCTGGGAAAACTAAAGCACAGAGGGAAGCAGGGATATGGAAAAAAGACCATGTTTTTGCTCTCCTGCTGTCTCACACTTACACTATTCCACTGAGCTCTAGAGCCAACTAATTATATTGTTGCCCTGTTTATTGAATGTCATTAATAGCCTTGTCATGAAACCTGAGTGCCATTCTCAAAGAAGCTCTGGCTGGAACAGCTCCCAGGCCTCAAGAAGCACTGAGCTTTCCCCCCATTAAGACTAATGGTACACGCTTCAACAGGAAACAAACAGCCATCGCTGCCCATAGATTCGTGTGTACTCTCGCCTGCACTCCAGACCTCGCCTTCTGGGTCCCTTAACAATGCTTTTGGCGGCAAGTAACAAGGACCGAAGCCATAAAGACGTTTGTTGTTTACCCAACAGGGTAGCCCAGCCATCGTTGGTCCTGGGGTGGTTCCTACTGCTCAGTGTGCCATCAAAGCCAGTTTCTCTCCATCTGCCTTCTCACTTTCTAAGCACGTTGGCTTTCTGCTCTAAGGCTTGTTGCCTCTTGGTCACAAGGTGGCTGCTGTGTTCAAGTTAAAGGGAAGTATAGCATCAGGAGCTTTGATCTTCAGCTTTTCCTTTTAATAAGAAAAAGAAAGCTCTCCCGAAGGTCCCCAAGAGAATCCTGCTTATTTTCCATTGGTCAGAACGGGGTCTCAGGGCCACTACTTGCTGTAAGGAAGATGGCATGGTAGGTTTAGGGTGGTCAGCTGTAGTGTCTGCCAAATCACCTTTTGAGAAATCCATGCACAAAATTGGAAAATCCACGCACAGTGCCTCTAGGAGCCCCTGGAGAAAGAACAGGGATAATTCCCTCTCCTCAACATCACCTTCTCTTTCGCCTAAACTGAACACTGAAATGCACTGTCAAAGGACCTTCATCCTAAATCACTGTCACATCTTGGAAAGGGAAAGAAATGCATACACAAGTGTTCTGAAGTTTAATTCAAGATGTCTGTGACGTACCAGAATTTGGGTTTACTGAATGCTGAGGTGTGAGAGTATAACTACGTGTTAGTGCGAGGATATTTTCTACGGAAGAGAATGTCATGTTCTGGCAACAGGTACAAGGGGCAGTTTGGGTTAAAGACTTAGACGTTCTTGGCTCATTCCATCTGGAGCCATTATGCCACCAGCGACACTCTTTTTCCTTCATTTGGGTGAATTTTTGTGCAAGACACTGATGATTCAAGTTTATGCCCCTCTATGTTAATCTTACCCTTTCAGAACAATAATCGGAAGGACTTCAAGGTTTAAAATGCAGGAGCACAGTTTCATAAATAACTGAAGGGCACTGTTAATACTGAGATAATAAGTCAAATATCTAGTCTCTCAATCCCCCATGGCAAACGGAACAAAGACACCAGCTGAGGGAAAGCAAGTGACTGTGCAGAAACCTTCCTGGCTCAGAAAGTTATAAACGATCAGACAAGTCCAAATCTAATGTGAAACCAAAGTAAAACCAACAACTGGCATCATATATTATGGGTTGGTTCCTTGCTTGCTATAATTAAGTTGGCATCAGTGGTTAACAGCCTTGAAAATTAAACTCAACAAAACTTTTGAAAAGGGTAATCAAAGGCTTCTGAATAATGAAGGTAACACATCCCTGTTATAAGGAAAAAGAATGTTCTTGCGGCATCTTGTTTCATGTCTATTTTGTGGTAGTGATGGTGGTTTTAACAGACACGTTGATTTTCACCCTCGGGGTCAGTGCAGCTCCTTCCCATTACTGTCACTTTCCCGTCCTCCCAGCACGGCTGGGATGGACATGGCGTCAGTATGCATGTGCAGTGTAGAACTTGGCACTTGCCTTGTTTTTGTTTTGGGGGTTTTTTTGTTTTGTTTGTTTTTTTGGCCTTTTGAAATAGGTTGTTTAGCATTCTTGTTTGGTTTCTGTGGCCATCTGTAGCGCAAATGGAGGGGTTTCTTTGGCTTTTTAAAATATTCACGTTCATGGCACAGGGGAAGCACTTAAGAGCCAGAACACAAAATTGTCCAGAAAAGAACTACCTTCTGGGTTTTCTTCTTTCTTTATGCTTGATAAACGGTGCCCATCATGGCAGTAATGAGGCACAAATATAGATAAGCCTCCTCTTCCTGAGATGTTCCCATTAGAATGCAGACAGTGTCAAAATTCCTCACATGGTGTTCTTTAAGAGAAAAAAAAAATATACTTGGGAACAGATCGAAGATCTTTTTTCTCACAGTTTCAGAGCTCAGTGAAAATGCATATAGTTCATTCCAATTACCCGTTTCCAAGCACTTTTCTTTGAGGAGTTGTTCCTTGTTCTGCATAGAATATTTATTGTGATGTAGTCATAACTCTGGTGCAGTAAGTGTTGGTTATTTTTCGAGTAGGGGAAGATTAGTCTCACTCCCAGACGGGCATTCATACAAGTGGCAGTTTGCCATATAAGTTGACTTTAAAACTAAATTGTACAACGTGGGGTGAAAGTAATGGACTCTTAAAGGCTCTATTTAGAAATGTCCATCTTTGTACCAGCGAACAGAGCAGATGCAAAGGAAGCTTTTGGGAACAGATAAATGCATGACCGGTCCGTAAAGAGAAAGGAACACATGCTTTATGCCTCCATTGAATTGCTTGGGGCAGAGGCTAAAGTGAGAAGACTAGGAAAACAGCTTATTTTAAAAATATACTTAGAGCCAGTAGGTCATAACAGAAGTGGAGTCCCATACTCTTTGGGACGGCTCCAATTTGCATGTGTATCTGTCTGCGTGTATTTGGAGGTAGACTGGAGCATAGTGTTCTACATCCTCTTTTTGTCCCAGTACAGCTCAACTCAACCAGCAAAAACAATATTAAATAGTTATTGTTTATGATATTCAAAGTCTAGAGGCTACTTGGAATACAGATTAGTTGGAAAATGCCTCCCAACTTCAGAATCATGGCTATAGAATTCAGTTCTAGGACACCGTGCAGACTGGGGCGTATGAACCTGGTGGGGTCTAGAGCGTGCCTGATGGTTATCAGCCTTTCTTCTTACCCAGGTTCTGAGAAAATTGAGAAATTAAACAAGGAACAGGGCAAAAATGTACCATAGTAACTGAGAAAGATAAGTTGAAGGGAATATCTGTGGGGTGAGTGTCAAATGGGCTTCCAAATGAGCTGGTCTATCCAGTCTGTAAAGGCCAAAGAGGGGAAGATTCTTGTCCTGATGAGCATGGCAGAACACCTATTTGCTTTAATCCATTCACTCCCAAGAAGGAAAAGAAGACAAATGGACAATGTGTGTCTGCTTTATTCTTCCCACATTTACCCATCAGGCATGTCATTCCTTTGAGGATGAGGGAATAGTAGTTGAGAGAGGCCAGGAGTTACACCGAGTTCTTTTCATCTGGAAGGAAACAGATTGGCAAAAACATTCCCCTAGTAATCTTCCTTCAAGCCTATAGCCCTACCCGCCGCCACCGCCCCTCCCCCCCGAAAAACGGTCATTTCAGGATTCTCCAAGGTCTTTGAGGCAAGAGTGAAGTAGTTTGGGGCTGCATCTGTCACATACATACTGGTCATCCGCATGGGCAATGGCCAGGTGTGTTTCACTGAAGTGTGTGTTTGGATAGTACATAAAAAAATGATACAGATTTGTCCCTCAATCATACTAATGTCTTCTATTAAAACTTTTTATTTTGAAATAATTTAGGACTTACAGAAAAGCTGCAAAATGGTGTAGAATTTCCGTATACCCTTCACCCAGCATTCGCTATTGTTAATAACTTGCATAATAACCATAGTACAGTGACCAAAACTAAGAAATGAACACTGATGCGACACTCTTAACTGAACAATGGTTTGTAGGTGGATTTCAC